ATAACAGAGCAGCACCACTGTGTTGTTGACACTCGCAACATTATCATAATCTCACGCTCCTCCCTACAACGTCCATCTACTAATTTACTCTCCTTACAATGCTAATTTATCGTCTACTTAGTATCAATTAGAATGTAATTAGATTAGGTACCTTGATATAGGAGAATAAGGATCAACAACGACCTAGATTTAGTCTTAGTGATGATGAGTTATGTTTTTAACGAATTTCCCATTTTATAGAATATAGGTAATAAGCTATTACCATAGGTCTCATAGTAAGATCTAGGCTCAGGACCGATTTACTTTTTCGTTTTGAGGTCCCCAGAGGCCAAAACCACCTTTCGTTCGAATTCATATATATATATATTTATATATGTGTCCGTTAGCACGATAACTCGAGCAAAAATGATCCGATTTTGATGAAATCTGGTATAAACGGGTAAACCTACATTTACTCGAACGAGTTCGCGAACCAGCATGATTGACTATGGGAACAGGGGTTTATGGAGGGTTTCATGGGGTAAAAATAGGTTGTAATTTCTTTCCAAACCATTTTGTAGTAATTTAGTGTATTGTCTTAAGGAGAATAAATAACCTGTTGTAGCTTCCTTGTATATGGACATATTTTAATAAAATTTTAAAATTTTGTTTACTTCTTACTAAGATATAAATATTTTAATAACCCCCCCCTCCCCCTATTTTCTTCCCAGTGGCAACAAACCAAAGTATTCATTAAAATTAATGATATTTAAATAGGAAATAAATCTGACAATTTTATGGGAATAATTTATTGGAATTCCAGCCAGGTAGATGGAAATTCACTTAGTCTGCAGGTTTGCTGCGGAGGGGGGTATTTTTCTATACCAGTGATATTTTCAAGTTAATGCCTTCCTTTGTTTGTATGAAATATTTTTGAAATTGGGTTATGAGATGCTGCAATAATGCGAGGAATCCAGCTGATTATAATTTAAACAAATATGACCTTTATAAGGATAACATGGAAACTTTTAAAGCCACTGGGGCAGAGCCCGAGAGTTTATTTTCAAAAATGTAATGTCAGTGTGAAAACCTAAACACCTAGACGAACATTTTGGTATATAATATGTGGGGTTAAATATTAAAACAAAAAGTCTTTTTGTTCATAAGGTTTCATGTAGCTTATTAATAATATAGATTGCTTTTAAAATTTTCTATTGGCTCTGATTATTGAAACAGAGAACCACACAATGTAGCCACAATATGCAGATATGTGGTATAGTACAGTGATGCACACGCCACGCCGCGCCGCGCCGCTCAATGAAGCACGACACTAGGACAATCACTTACAATTGTTTTACGGAACATCTCTTTTGATATCTCACTTCTGTCGCACAGCCTTAAATCAATATCGTGTTTTGTGACTTTGGACATCGATATGGATGTTTTGTAACGTCGTATGGAAGAGGTTTTAGAACAAATAGTAATTGATCTAATAATTTATTTGTATTTTTAAGTGTTTGTTAAAACATTGTATTGTAAAAATATTATTATCTGCAAATGTAGAACTAACAGGATTGTAGACAATTTATTTATTCGTACTTTAAAATATGGTTTAAATACTGCCTTTTTACCAAAGGACTTAGCCTACCTGTTTACGCTAGGATAAAATATTACTAGCTATAGGAAATGTTTATAACCCGGCAAACCTATGAGTGTACCTGATGCTGTAAGAGCTCTACAGTAAAAAAATAAATAAAACCCTCGACTTTACTAATACATTATATTGAACGAAAATTCGTTGAACAAATCAGACATATTTTGATCATCGTTTATTGCAAATCCACCAGAGTCAATGACAATATGTTATCTACAATATGTTACAGTTGACTGTAGAATGTTGAACCTCAACAGTTGAATGAGGCAGCTGAAATGCAGCTAAAATGAGGCAGTTGAATGAGGTAATAACTTAGTTGTTATTACTGTAATAGCCAACGATGGTACTAGCAGCTATGGGCCATTTTTTGTCTATTACTTAAGATTTTGGCCCTTATAGTTCAATGGTTTCTACTAAACAGCATCATTACAGGTAGGAAATAGTTGATTACTTTGATTTGGTTGGTATTGGCGATTTGTTTATTTAGGCTACATACAATTTTAGTGTTAACTCTTTAAAAACCCCTCATAACATGATGTTTACGTTAAACAGCCATTTATAAATTTCAACGAAATTATCAGTTTCATTACACAAAAGGAAAACACATCCTGCTCAGATAAAGCTCTTTCTAAAATACGTAATATGATGATTCGTGATATCTTTTATTTAATAGTGTTTATAGTATATTTCCTATGAAAAGTATTTGATTGAAAATAGATATATTCCTAATGTAGGCTATCCCTCCAACACTCCTATTTATCGCCGCCGTTAAGATCATGTACATTATAATAATCTAGTGTAGACTATACGGAGACAAGCGAGCCAGAACTCATCCCATTCAGAATTTTTCAGTGTCAAACAATTAATCATCGAAAACTCATTTGGAGCTGGTCATCACAAAAAGCGACGAATGATGTTCCGCAGCTAAAGATGTTTGGCTTACGTCAGATCATTGATGACTCTAATGTCCTGCCTAATAGACCATTGGAGCCAAATTGGAAACACTTCCTGTGCATTACCCGATCTGGAGCCTTATTGGATCCTTGGTCCTCGGCGGGCTTAATCCAGTTTACCATTTAGACAAATATTTACTTCCATAGAAACATAGAAGTATCGTTAGTATAATATTAAATTTGTATGTCAAAATAGTTATAGTTTCCAGCAAATTTATTTCCAGATTTTAAAGAAATGCGTTAAAGCATAGATAAAAAATGTTAAGCTTGTTATGAAGAACTTTGATTAAAATATGCCAGTGAATATCAACGAATACTTGTTTTCTATTACGCAGCTGATTATGATGCATGTTAAGGTACATTCAAATGTGATTATGTTTTGTCAATTAATGGAAATAATACAAAATGTTAAATTGACATAAAACACTAGTTTTCTTTCATATGTTTACTCTCTTGGATGGGTTGTTTGTTTAGGTAAGCATGTCATTTTTGATATCCTAAGTTTACATTTGTTGTTACTATACAACTTATGAATTGTTCTAATTACAAACTGAACATACTTGCAAAATATCTTTGTTATTGTTGATAATTCATATATTTATTGTTATTGTTGATATTTTATACATTTATTCAAAGTACTTCTTGTGTGTTGTTCATGTTCATTGGTTGTTATTTATTGATTTGCTTTGGAAATGTCTATTTGATATGCTTTGTACCTGATATAAATGAGCTCATTTTTATTTCGTTACTACTCAATAGTATTTATTAATTTGTATTGAATGCCATTTTCAAGAAAATTTATTTGTATGTAAAGTTTAAGTTGGAATAAGTCATCATTGTAGCCTATACCATTGTAAATTGGTTCTTAACCGTTGGAGGGTAAAATAAAATATGTATTCCGTAAGGAATTATACTGTAGATATGTATACAATATCATATAGCCTTATGACTATACTCTAAATGTTTCAGAATACATAAATTATTATGGCTAAATTAATCCATAATACAATAACACAATACAATAACAATTAATTTATATTACCAATTTACCAATAATCAGTGATTGTTGCAGATGTTTAGGATACATGATTACTTTAATGTTTATAAGCGTTGTATGCAACTGAACTTATCACTGTTTTCAGTGACAAGCATTTAAAGTTCGAGTATATTAAGATTACCGCATTGTAAAATCGTAAACAATTTCAATAGTAGAAAACCTAGATAGTATTAACACATCTACAGTGTTATACTATCTTTATGTATTGTTAACATCAATCTTGACGCATGTATGCTAGATCATTGTTATTTTTTGTGAAATGGGGGTTTTCATTTGGATGAATAAATAAATGAAAACAGTTTTTAAGGAGTCTTGTCCAGATGGACCATGGATGGGGTAGCATCACCGCTAATTTATGGACATCTACATATTATTACTGTAATAGCCAACGATGGTACTAGCAGCTATGGGCCATTTTTTGTCTATTACTTAAGATTTTGGCCCTTATAGTTCAATGGTTTCTACTAAATTAATTGTTTTACGTGCACATTTAAATATTGTATAGATTTTAATGGGAAATTATTTTAAGCGCTAAAAATAGCCGACATTTATTTCTCAACCTCTTGCATTACTATTAAAAAATAAAATTACACGGGTAACTAACATATGGAAAAGATACCTATATAATGAAAATAAGCTATTACAGTAGTAACAAACACAAAAAGCACAAATATCGTCAGTTTGTGTGTGTGCCAGGTTCGTTGGTTCGCTGATTAAACCAATTTACTAATAAAGTTTTAAGTATTTTGTATGACGCGAGGTATCTGTGGTCACTTCACTTTGGTGATCATATCAGTCCATGGACGATTCGTTGCCGGCGCTTGGCCGAATTGTGATAATAGAGGAAGGAAAAGGCCAAACTCATAGTTGCTATTTCTATTATATTAACACGCACGACTATTATACATCTTTCAGGACTCGCTAGGACATTTAGTTTGCATGTCCATAATTATTCAAATAAAACAAAAGTTGAAATATCAATATCAATTAATTTAGCCATTTTAAAATTTGTGGTAACTTATAATTCTATACGAAATGGTGCTATATAGAATTTGAATATTTTTTCAAATAAAGAATAGAAATTAGAGGATTTGAATTAGCATTTATTTCTTTTCCTTATAATATCTGATAACTAGCAATGTTTCGATGCTGATCAGCTAAAAAGTTGTAGGTTAAGTTAAAGTTAATGGCTTCAGATCTGAGAAAATATCTTTGATTATAAGTGATAATAAATGTTAGACCTAATACTGTTTCAAGAAATTAAAAAAAAACTTGGACTTAGTTTTTTTTCAAAACAGTGGTATATTTAAATTTAATATGTAGGTATATTAATATTTAGGGTTTATTTGAAACTCACAGATTTGTTGATCGGCAGCTGATGCGTGCTGTACAGCGGACCGGCCACCCTCGTGACTGGGTTAACGTCTGTCAACATCTTCAAAACAATCCTAAATCTGAAAGCCGGTAAAAACGTCAACGCGCGCACAAAGGTAGGTCCATCCCGCTCGACGTTCAAACAAACACTGAGGATGCCATGTCTCCTCACTTCCCCCTCCACTGTGAGGAGGCGGGGCTGACGTCACAGAGAGCCAATCAGTGCGCGGCCTTGTAATAGGGGAACAACCCGACACTTAAACGGTCTCTTATCGTATCCCCTCTCCTCGCAACAATCGATACAAGCGCTCGGTGCGGACCTCCTTGCAACTATAACTCTCCGCGCTGCCGATGAATATTTACACCTTCTTACCCCGTGTACTTCGTACTGTCCGTCGCGTCTGTACCGTCTGTACTCAGGGTGCGGTCGTAACTCTATGGGAATGGGGATAACATGTAGCTGCTTGTACCTCTTATCTTATCTCCACCAGAAGGAGTTAGTGATGGTACACAAAGATATATTGTGTGGACTGGTGTTTAACAAAGAATACACTTTGTTCAATTGATTAGGAGGAACGGTCTCTTATCTGAGATCTGTATACATAAGAATGTGTTGACTAAAATGTTATACAAAAATTGCATGAGCATTTGACGACTCTAAAAGAAAAGAAACCCAAATCCGCCGGTACAAAATTCTATAATAAACTTCCAAAGGACATACAAGCAGAAGTAAATATAAAAAAAATTAAAAACAAACTTAAGAAATTTCTCATTAGCAGGGCTATTTACTCATTTGATGAACTGTAATGGACTTCTCTTTCCCTACTAATCAAAGTATGTTTTAACTGTTAGTTCTTTGTTCTTTTACAATTTTTCTCATATTTATAAGCATGTATATTTTATTTTAACTTTATCATTAAGAAATCTAACACTATTCATGTATATATTCCTAAAGTACTTGATGAATAAAGGTAATTTTATTTGATTAAACCTAATCTTAGCGTCGTAGATCTCAACAATTTTCTGTTTGGCTGAAACATGATCTCAATGTTTATAATTTAATTTAAAGCAAGCCTGAAATAAACGCTATATTCTTGATGCCTCTCTGCTTAATGCCGTTTACTTAAACTCAAAGACCAAATTAATTTATGTGAATTCTAATTACTTTAGGTGTTGTGTATCACTAATGTGTGTTAATATTCTTATTTGATCTTCAATAGTAAATCAATTCTAAATACACTGTATCCGATTGGATTGAATATGATGTGTATATAAAATACGTTCCACAATGCAGTCATTTTTCTGGTTTAAGCCTTACAGCTGATTCTTACCTGATCTATAAACTCTCCCAGTATGGCAAAGCACTTTATCAACCGGACAACCCAAAGAACGCGTGGAACTCTGCTATATTTATGCGATGTCCTGCCTCCATTTGGTCAGCGTTATTGGGCCATTAATTAAATTTGCATTTTGATATTTATTTTATGAAATGGAGAGGGCGTAAATTGTAATTTGATACGGATATTTAATGCTATTAACTGTGTTTCGGTTCCCTCGTGTTCTTTTGATTTGAAATATAACTGGTTATGACGTTGTGTTTTATCAAATGCAAAAAGTATTTCCTATTAAACTCGAACTTATTCTTAATAGATATATTTTTTTAATATCCAACCTCAACACTAAATTCAAATTGATACTTGCAATCTAAGGTCGAAATATAAACTTTAGATAGTTTAGGACGTTGGTCATCTTCAGACCGATATAGGTCTACGGTTCTACACGATTTATAGGATGTGTACGTTGAAATGGATATTTATAAATATGGTTTTACATTTTGTTTTCCTTTTCAACAGAAATCCTTAGAACCTGAAGACAGAGGTTTAAAAAATAAATAACTTACACGAGAACTGAAAATTAGTAGGGACTTAGTATTATGACTGTTATTTCAATATACTTGGCTATAAATTTCTACTTTGGAAACACGAAATTTATCATTAATAATAAAAGCAAGTAAGTATGATAAACGTATAACCAATGTATAAGAAATATAAAATAGTAAAACAAAATGTTTGAAAATAGTTAACATTTTTTTAAGCAAAGTAAACAGTTTTTTAAGTAGACGTGGGCAACGAATGTAATGGGTTAACAATTTAAAAACATGTTTGTGTAAAGACAATGTTTAGTACAATGTTTAGTAAAGACACCATGTAAATTTCAACTCGTGAGACCTTCCTCACTGACGTGCACCTTTCAACAGTCGGGTTGCCGACAGAGACACGCCGATATGCAAATTATTCAAACAGGAAACTAAAAACAAAAGTATTCTTGGAAGAGTCCCACTTACCGCACGATAGGCCCTGCTTTGCCATTCAAATGTGCATATTGAGCCACGACTAGACCTGCGCTAATGATAGTGGCGACTAGGCAACATGTGTGTGGGGAGCGGGTCTCTTGTAGGCTAACACAGGTCTACAAACACAGATGTATATGTTTACACTAAAATGTCTCCTTAAAAATATCATATTTATTCCCTATTTAAATATAATTAGTTTAACGAGTACTTAGGTTTGCTGCAACAGGGAGCGCAAAAAAGTGTTTTTTTTTTTCAAATGTAAATAGTTTAGTAAGATATGAATGCATTTTACAAATTTGGTCAAAATATGTTCAAAAACAAGCAAACTACAATAGTTTACTTATTCACTATAAGAATAACAAGGAAATTTTAAATTTACAGTTTTTTTGGAATTTTCTCCGTAACCATTAGGCGCATAATAACGCTTCAATATACTAAATTATTTGTTTTTAAGCTCTACAAAATGGTATGGAAAGAAATTGCTAAAAGGTTAGTTTTTTGGGTCAAAAAAAAGGAAAAACCAATTTTTACCCCATAAGAACCCCCCATAAACCCCGTTCCCATCGTCCGATCATGCTGGTTCGCGAACTCATTCAAATACATGTAGGTTTACACGTTTATACCAAATTTAATCAAAATCGGATCATTTTTGCTCGAGTTATCGTGCTAACGGACACATACATATAGGGTATACTAGCTGTAACCCGCGGCCTTTGCCCCGTTTAACTTCTTAATTTTCAAGATGATCTCGTTCGCATGGCTCAATCACGTCCTGGTTGAAGTTCGTTCGCTACGCTCACTCACCTTTAGGTTAGAGCTCGTTCGCTGCGCTCACTTGCCTTCAGGTTAGCTCGTTCGCTACGCTAACTCGCCTCCAGGTTGAAGTTCGTTCGCTACGCTCACTCACCTTTTGGTTGCAAATTAGCTGTTGTCATAAATGTAAAAGAAATAATAGTGCTGCACCCTGTTGGTAATCCTTGTAACTTTAATGCTATTGAACATCATAGAACAGAACCAACTTGTTTAATTGAAACAGCTGTTAAGATTCATTAATTCCATTTCTCATAAGGTTAACATGGGAAACTCCAGAGCCACTGGGGCGGAGCCGATTGGACGGATCACGGAATTGATGGTGTATAATCCTATTCCATGAAATTCTACACGTATGTACCAAGTTTCGTGGCAATCGGTTCAGCGGTGTCTGAGTTTATCACTGCCAAACAAATATATATATATATATATATATATATATATATATACAAACATACTCTTTTATACTTATAGATAAGAAAAGATATCGCACAGAACTATGATCATTGAACACAGCACAGCCATTGTATACTATCCTTTAAATATGTTTTACATCTTAAAATCCTTCCACTACAGTTTGTTTTTGTGTAACAGTGTGAAATAATGTTATAAACAGCATGTATAAGTGTGTTACATTGCAGGAATGTGTGTTTGTGTGTTACATTACACGAATGTATGTGTGTATGTTACATTACACGAATGTATGTTTGTGTGCATGCCCCACGTGCAGCGCAACTGAACAAAACATTTCGCAACATTCGTGTTCCTATCTACACCACACGCAGTAGCTATTTACTGTAAGTAATATTGTCCGCTAACCTACAATTATCTGAAAATTATTGTATACCCACACGAGGTATTCACGCTAAATGTCTCATTCATATGTATTGCTACTGAAATGTGTTCTGCTAAAAAAGTTTTAAACCTTTTTATTCATGCATCTGAACTGAAAATTGGTTAATTCCTGAGTAGTAGTCCTATTTACGATTAATATACCTATATAAATGCTTAGTGATTTGGGTATTTAAGCTCGTTCTCTGCTAGATGTTACCCAAAAACACTATATATATAATTTAATTCTTCACAAGCAAAATATGATCTGATGATATGTGGAAAATATTTACTAGAGGTTCCTCCAAATCACCAAAAAACCAATGCGATGGTCTGTTCGATATACGTTGAATTACCAACAACCAAGCGATGTGCCTTTCCGAAAAATCCCTTTATGTGTTTTGTTTTATTTTATTTACTTTCGTAGCAATCCAAAAATGACTGGTTTATGCATTGGTTATCCTAATCATAATTTTAGTTTAACCATTGCAGTAAGTCTAAAGTGAATGAACGATTTTGTAAATGATTGGATATATTGAAAATAATTTGTTTGGACCTAGTAAAACATGACATATGTGCTTTAATTACAGAGTGTAATTTATTATTATCACTCTCCACTTATGAGTATTACAGCATTACAGGTTTTAAATAACTATTACCAAACAATTATTATCATTATTAGGCTATCATTCAGTACGGTATTAAGTTGGCTACAAACAACTGATAAAAAGATACGAATCAAATCCAATCGTCTGTGAATAGTTTTTTAGACAATGAAATCAAAGTGTTTCGTAAGTTAGCAACAACTCCTGATATCTATTAATCACAGCCTGTTAGGGGTGATGATTGCTCAGTTGATGTATGGGCTCTGTATGTCTTGAGTTGGCTCTCTGTACTCTGTGGCAATTGAATTACTCTCCCAGTGACTTATTACTCGCTGGCGACGCGCTAATAATACTCATTCAGCCCGCCACTGATCTCAGCTGATTGGGTAATTTGTTTAAAATACGGCCAATTTGTATACATAAAATTGCTTTGAGAAATATGATGTAAGGGTTATCAAAGTATATCTTTTAAAAATAATAAGTACTAATTTTAACTTAAAACTAATGTTTATAGTGTGTATAAGCGAATCACATGAAATATGAAATATGAATATATATACTGTATATATATATATACATATATAAATTAAGAGGTTGGCAGCCTATTTTAACATTGAATT